CTTCTTGGGGTTGGACGAAACTAGATGTCAAAATTCAAGAGAACATCAAAGAAGTAACAGTTTTGGAGGGCTTAGTTGTGTCTTGTTGGGGTGTTTTTTTTCTTCATTGATGCTCTGGGTCAAAGTAGTGAGGATGGCATTCAAGGGTGGAATTGGGTTGAAGTTTTAAATGTTTTCTCAGTATGTGTATGGGCATGGTTGTTTGTTTTGTGGTGTGGGATTGATTGATTTCTGAGTTTTTCATGTCCTGGAGATTTGGTATTCGATTTCTCAGGTTTGTTCCTTTTGGCTACTCTCTCTCTCTCTTGTGACTTCTGGTCACTCCCCTTGTATCTTCTCCTTTTTATTTCATTACCAAAAAAGCTTCTAATATTGCAGATCAATGTCGTCAGACTTGGACCATAATGGATTGTCAGACCATTTGAACCAGAAACCAGAAGCCAAAATGTTTTTTTTTTTTTATAGATAACTGAAAGTATTTCATTAATATAAACAAGCATATACATAGGATTACAACTGGGGTCTGGGTACCCCTAAAAACAGATGGAGCAAACAATGACCAATACAGTCACTCCCTGCCCTTCCCTTGCCCACAGAAGCCAAAATGGTTTTTCAGTTGCCCAGTTCTTAGAAGTGTTGACCTGGTCAAATATATCCAAAATACATGTATTAATAGGTATTTTAAGCTCTAGTATTTATTATTTTATGCTTATTTTGATGTAAACTAGTTTTAAAAGATAACCTCTAATATTTATTGGAAAAATCTATGCTGCCAGAAAGACATGATACTAGAAGAGCTTTGACCAATCAAAACCCCCTTGGATTTTGAAAAATACCACCTGGTCAAATATATCTGAAATACATGTATTGATAAGTATTTTAACCTCTAAGGCTCTAATATTTATTATTTTATGCTTATTTTTATGCAAACTAGTTTTAAAAGATAATCTCTAATATTTATGAGAAAATCTATGCTGCCAAAAAGACATGATACCAGAAGAGCTTTGACCAATCAAAACCCCCTCGAATTTTGAAAAATACCACATGATTGGTTACCACCTTTATGATACTGGTTGATAGGTTACTGCACTTATTGTTTTTGTTTTGTATGGGGTGCTTCTCTTTTGAGTATGGAAAGGCCATACCCAGAACACATTCATCCACTTTCTGGACACCTGCAGAAAATATGTGATAAAGCTTAAGTTTGATGGTTGTAGTAGCGGCAATCTGGGTCTCTCAGGCACTAGAGGGACATTTAGGGATTACAATGGATGCTTACTGGCTATATATTCAAGACCATTAGGACAAGGAAACTCAATAAGTGTGAAGCTATCAGCAGCATTGCAAGGTCTGAGTTTAGGCTATTTAGCTGAAGCAAATCATTATAGAAACATATAAATGGAAGGGGATTCAAAAGTGGTGATAAGATGGCTCAATAATGAGGAGCTGATCCTTTGCCAATACAAGAACATCTTAAAGGAGTTGCTAAAACGATAAAGGGTTATAAATGTATGGATTCAAAGATCAACCAATGGTTTGGCTGGTACTCTCACTAAACAAGGGGCAAATCCTTAGCAGTTATTCTGGGGAAAAGTGGAATAATCATGTGACAGTAAGAGTGAAACACAATATAATAATACAGGTGGCACCCTAGCTACCTTAAAAAGGGATGCTTCGCATTTGTGTAAGTACACCATTTTATATTTAATAAATTACTGTTGTTCATAAAAAAGGGCCACTGCCTAATGTTCATCCTAAGCTATCTGGGTTCTTGAGAGGAAGAGACTGGATATGGACCTAACCTTCGGCATTTTTTTTACACAAAGTAGCCTCTCTTGGATGAAGTTGCTGGTGATATGTCCTTGGTGTGGTCTTGTTGTCTGCATTAGTTAGTCCCCAGATATCTCTAAGATCCTTCTATGCTTGGTTAGGTTATTCTGTAACTTTATATGATTTTCTGCTCATTCATACTCTTTGAAACCTCCCCAAGTATTCCTAAGAATGACCAATAATTCAGTAAATGCTACATGTAAGATGGTTGTCAGTTCGAGATGTCTTTGCTGTCGTGTTTTTGAGGAAAATTAGATCTAGTCACTGACTGATCTTTGCTTGTTCAGTCCCTTATCTTATCCTCCTCTGCAAGAATACTTTATTTTATTTTTAATTGGCTAAAGGTAAGGTAAAATATTTTGAATCAGGAATAATGATACAAGAGAGTTCCCCAAAAAATATCTTTTGGGTCGGGACACCAGAGATTCCAATCCATTACAAACTCCAGAAATTCCCAGAATACAGCCTAGCCCCCAGTTGGGTAACCTGATGCCCCTTAACAGCCAAGATCCAAGGTAGAAGTTTTCCAAAAGCAAATGCAATTAGATCTTCTGAGTCTTTGGAAGTGCTGCAGAAAATTCTTTCGTTTCTCTCTGTCCATAAAGAACTGATTACAGCAGCCAGAATGGTTCCCCAGACACTTCTTGCTAGCTTTGACAGCCCCTGCAGCTCCCAGCATTTCAGCAGCTCCTTCACAGTGCTTGGCAAAGCCCAGATAACACCCAGTGCTGAAAGGAAATGGTTCCAGATCTTTGTTGAGGCAGAGCAGTGGAGGAACAGGTGGTCACTGTCTTCCAGATTTTGATCACATAGCACACATGACAAATCTTGGATCTGCACACCTCTTTTTAACAGATGGGTTTTAGTTAAACATCTGTCTAAGGATGCAACCCAAACCAAAGCATTAACCTTTGAAGGGGCTATAGGATTCCAAACTTCAGCATCAGGGGAATCTTCTGGACTGTGGTTAGACAGATGCCTAACAAAAGATTTGATAGAAAATTGGCCATCTGGATTCCAACTCCAAGCCCAGCTATCCTCTATAAGTCGATCCAGGGGTTGAATGGTGATCAGCTCCAGAAGTTCAGTGAAGTTTTCAATTTCCCAATCTTGAAAGTTCCTTCTGAAAGAAGGGAACCGGATTACAGAGCTGCCATTAACCTCATAACACTCTGAGATGAAAGCATCTTGGGGATCTGCAATTTGGAATAGTTGTGGGAACTGATCTGAAAGAGGAGATTCCCCACACCATGGGTCCTTCCTAAAAAGGCAGCCTATCCCCTTTCCCCAGCCTGGGTCTCAATCCTCGGCTGAATACAGGAAGAATGTCCATGATTTTTTTCCAAACTGAACAGCCTAATGAGCTGAAAGAAGAACTAGTAATCCAATCCCCACTGTCTGTATTATATTTGGCTGCCATTAGAATCCTCCACCATCCATTCCTTTCCTTTCCAAACCTCCAGATCCATTTCCCAAGAAGAGCAGTATTGAAAATCCTTACTCTTCTGATACCCAATCCTCCTTTATCTTTCGGTAAGCACACCTGATCCCAGCTTACCAAATGAACTTTCTTTTTCTACTCCCACCCCCTCGACAGAAATTCCCTCTGCAATTTCTCAATTCTTTGGGCTATTTTCCCCGGGATAAGAAAGAGGGAAGGATAAAAAGCTGGGAGGTTAGTCGGAGAGCTTTTTTAGAAGTAATCCTGCCTCCCAGTGATAACTACTTAGCCTTCCAAGAAGCCAATTTCTTTTCCAATCGCTCCAGAACTGGCTCCCAAATCAAAGCCGAAGTACATTTAGCTCCTAAAGGGAGACCCAAGTACTTAGTTGGCAAGTGCCCCACTTGACAAGCTGGCCTTGCTGCTAACACTTCAATATTTTCCACCTTGCCCACCGGAAGCAATCTGCTTTTGCTCCAATTTACCTTTAAGCCTGACACTACCTCAAACCAACTGACCACCCCAGCCACAATCTCAATTTGATCCTCCTTTGCTTCCACAAAACATAAAGTGTCATCCGCAAGCTGTAAAACCTGTACCCTCACCCTCCCTGGAGTCACCTTAAAGCCTTTCCATAAACCCTCCCCCCACTAGCTTGATGAAAATAGTGAGGATTTCTGTTACACATATGAATAACAGGGGGAAAGAGGGCCACCCTGATGGAGTCCCGTAGAGCTTTTGAAGAAACCCACTGATTGACCATTAAACAGAATTGAAAACTTAGGTGAGGTAATGCAGACTTTTATCCAATTCCTCCATTTCTGACCATAGTTCATTCTCTCTAGAACAAAGTCCAAGCATCTCCAGTTAACATTGTCACAGGATTTTTCCAAATCAAGCTTACTGATCAAACCCGGAGAGCCCTTTCCTTAGAATCAATTACTTCATTTGCCACCAAAACACTCAACATTTGGCGCCCTGGCACAAAAGCAAACTGATTATGAGAAACCACATCAGCAGGAACCTTTTTCATCCTCTCAGCTAAAACTTTGGCTAGGATTTTGTAGAAGCTGTTCAGTAAGCTTATGGGCCTGAAATCCTTAATATTTGTTGCTCCTTCAATTTTCAGAATCAGGGAAATGAGTGTAGCATTCAGGCTCCTTTCCAGAGATGCATTTCTATTAAACTCTTGAAAAACCTGCATCATATCAGTCTTTATCACATCCCAACAGCTTCTATAAATAAATTGGTAAGCCCATCTGGACCTTGGGACTTCCCTATGTCCAAGTTTTTTTATTAATTGCCAAATTTCCTTTTCTGAGAAAGGAACCTCTAAAAAACTTTTCTGCATTTCAGAGATTCTTTTGAAGTTTAAACCCAATGGCAATGGTCTTCTTTTCCACTTTTCTTTAAACAAGCCTGAGAAGAAATCAATTACCAATTTCTTAACCCCCGTGTTTCTTCACTTAATCCCTCATGTTCTATCCTTTCAATTGTGTTTATTCTAGATCTTGCCTTTGCCATTTTATGAAAGAAACTGGAATTTTTACCCCCTGCCTTCAGCCATTTCACCTTAGCCCTTTGTCTCCAGTCTTCACTTCAACTAATCTCTATAAGCTAATTTATCCAAGAGCAATTTGGCAAGAATACTTTCTTATCAAGAGCTCTCTTATGGATTTTATTACATGATCTGTGATCTTATTTTGCATTTCTACTTTCTTTTTAATAGGAAAATGATAGCCCAGAATCAGCAGTGGCTAAGCTTTTTGCATCCGCTAAAAGAAATAATGCCCAATTAAGTGGGTATGGAGTCCATACTCACTGTTTACAGAACTTGCCTTCTGAAGGACAGATACGGGTAAGCCATGATTCTTATATGCACTTCCTTATATTATTTCCTATGGGAAACCTTCAGTTAATAATGTTGATCGCATATTCTAGGCAACTGCGGTTGAGGTACAGAATCTTCTTGTTTCTGGTAAAACAAAAGAGGCTCTCCAATGTGCACAAGAAGGTCAGTTGTGGGGACCTGCACTTGTTCTTGCAGCACAACTTGGCGACCAGGTTATATGCAACATATTTTACCTTTTCCTTTCCAGTCTTATGTTCAGAATGATTTGTCGGTAATTTATCTGGAGAATATGTGTAGTTTCTCGACCTCTTCTTTTGTCTATTTTAATCTTGTTTTGTTTCTTTTCTGAATTACTGCAGTCTTATGTTGATACTGTGAAAAAAATGGCACACCACCAGTTAGTAGCAGGATCGCCCTTACGGACATTATGCCTGCTAATTGCAGGCCAACCGGCCGATGTATTTTCCGCAGACAGTACAAGTGGTGTTCCACCTGGTGTTGGGCATATATCACAACAGCCTGCTCAGGTTTCTAATGTAGCCAGTTTCTACTGATTCACAGGCACTGTGTAGTTTCAATCATGTGCTATATGTATCATAATGGTTGTTGTGCAGGAAGAGGAAGTGCATTAGCCTTGTGTATATTCCTGATTATGCATTTTGCCCCTTGATCTAATTCTTATACTGATGCATTATAAAAATCATAAAAAATTCCTTGAACTATTGTCTTAAGTTAGCTCATCTAGTTTTTTTTTTTTTTGCATGGATAACAGATTGGATCCAATTGTATGCTAGATGACTGGGAAGAAAATTTGGCCATCATAACTGCGAACCGAACAAAAGGTGATGAGCTTGTAATTATTCATCTTGGAGATTGCCTGTGGAAAGAGAGAGGCGAGGTACATCTTGCAAATTGTTTACTCAGTTAAATTTACCTCCTAATGCAAAAGATGTCTTTGTCTTTTGTGTATAAATGTCCTCACAGAAGTTTTGGTACAGATTACTGCTGCACACATATGCTACTTGGTTGCTGAAGCAAACTTTGAGTCATATTCTGACAGTGCAAGATTGTGTCTTATTGGTGCGGACCACTGGAATTTCCCTCGAACCTATGCTAGTCCTGAGGCTATTCAGGTCTTGTATGCTCCTCTTTCACTCTCATATTGTTCCTACTATTTGAAAGCCAGGAACATTTTTCTTATTCATTCTGGAGTTCATCATTATTAAGTTCAATACTTCTAGTACTTATATCTGGAGATTAAGGATAATGTTTGAGGCTGTTACTTCCCTTAAGTAATTAGAAGATAAAGGAGGTGTTTTTAAGGAGTAGAGAGTTGGACACAATATTTCATAGTAACTGTTAAAATGAAGTTCATAGTAGATGAACATTGTATTACAATTGTGTATACATATATCTGAATAGACATAGTATTGTTCTTCGTGCAGCACATGATACCTTTCCCATTCTATCTTCAAGTTTGCTCTTTTGTTATGCTCCCTTCCTAGATCAGTTTATTGTATATAGACATTGTTTTGCAATCGTGCATGCATCTTTATCTCAAAATACATTGTATTGCCCTTCTAGCCATAGTTGTCAAGGTGTCTATAGGTGATCCTGGGTGACAGTAGGGCACAGTAAGAATTTTATAATATAAAAACTAAACTTTGGTTGGTTCTCTAGATTTATATATCAATCAGCATACATATTAACTGAAAAAATAGCAATGTTAGTCTAAAAGCTTTTTTACTCTTTTTGTATGGTTGTATATTAGTACTAGCTCATGGGCCAGATGCAATTGTTGAAATAGCTGAATTAATAGAAATCTATACTTTACCTATTTCAAAAAAAAAAAAAAAACTCTCAAAACATGGGAAGAAAATGTGCATTTTCATTGATGGAGAGGGCTACCGTTCAGTCTATGGCGTAAGCTAGTGTTGGAGAAAATAGCTGTTGCCCTGGGTGGAGTGCTCCTCTCATATAAGAAATTGGATTTGAAAGCCATTGGGTTGAGGATAGCAGGTGTGAAGTCAGAAGCCATCCCTCTCTCGTTCGAAATACTGGTCGTAGGTCTTTGGAGCAAGGTTTGGGTTGCGTCAGAATTGGAAGCGACACTATGAGTGGGAGGTCGGAGGTTGAAGATGATGGTGATGTGGCCGGTTGGGTGACATGTGGAGGTGAAAGAGAAACTACAAGCGTTTATAAGCAGGCAAGTGGAGGAGAAGATCATTGGGGAAGACAAAGAGTCAACGGCTTGGGCGCGTAGGTTTCAAAAAGGGGGGAATGTGAAGTGGGAGATTTCTCCTTTAGGCTCCGTTTGGTTTGTGGGATGGGGATGGGAAAAAGGGAATATTCCCAAAATATTCCTTTTTCTCTCATTTGTTTCAAGGGAAACAGGGGATGGGATGAGAAAAAAAGTGGGATGCGAGATCCCAAAGTTGTGTAATCGGGGTCACACCAAAACCGTGGACCCCAGTGGAAAAACTTGAGAAAACTCGAGTTTCATCTTCATCCTCATCGCTGCTGGTAATCGCCACCACCGCTGCTGGTAATCGCCTTTGCCCTTCTCGTTGCTGCCGCCACCACTGCCACCGCCGCTGTTGGTAATCGCCGCTACAGGCCAGCAAGAGAAGCTAGCTTCTTTGCAAACTCAAGGTTGCTCTTCTCTTCCTCGTAAAACCTAACATTCTCAAGGAGTAGAACACCTCCTTTTGGGATTGCAGCCACCGGCTTCTCTACTTCCTCACCGATACAATCATTGGCCATCTCACGATTCCAGTTTTGTGAGATTGCAGCCATCTCACCGGTACAGTCTAGGATTGTAGCCACCGGCTTCTGGGATTGCCCTTCTCATTGCTCCTTCTGGGATTGCATCCATCTCTTGACTTCCTCTGCCACCATGGTAAAACCCAGATCGGAGGAATTTACCGATTCCAGTTTCGCACGAGGTAACACTGTTGATGACGATCCTCACCAAGGCATTCACTGGAGATGAGGGTGGATTGAACCTCCAAGATCTTTGTTTTGTGTTGGGTAATTTTCCTACTATTTTCCATGTAAAACCAAACAATGAAAAGTTAAATTTTTACACTTTCCCATCCCATCCCATCTTTTCCCATCCCACCCAAATCTTCCCACAAACCAAACGAAGCCTTAAGGAAATACTAAATAAAGGAACAGGTGTAATGGGGGGGCGGGCCCACAAGGGAACGAGACAAAAGATTGGTTGACATCAGTCGAACCAGTGGGTCAACTCGGGCCCTACCAGTTTTGTAGGAAGGAAAGTAAAGCAATCACGTGAGCCGGTTGGATGAACCTCTGATAGAAAATTCTCAAGGTCTATCATCGTCTTCAACCCTATCGAGACCGTCTGAAACTTAGGAGGGAAGAAATCTGAAATGGAATCAGCGGCAAAGAATGGTTGTTGAGCACCCTAGGAAAAGAATTGATTTCCTGGAAGAAAGTGATTCCGATTGGAGTAGCTCAAAGGAGTTCGAGCTTTCGAGTTCGAATGTGAACTCCTGCGGTGAAAGTGAGCAAGAACAAGGAAGAAATGCAGTTCAGGAGTTAGAAGATCTTAACTTGGAAGCTTTTTTCAACCTCAGTCTTGGCATCCATGGTCCACAAGTACAGCCAAGTATACAACCTGTTTCAGTGCAAGTTCGATGAAGTAGAGTGGATGACATGCATCCAAGGGGGAAGGATTCAGACCAAAGTCAGAAACAACTACAAGGGATGACCATGATAATGAGAGAGTCGAGCCAAGAGACGAGCATAGATTCACCGAATAAGTTTTCAGATTCAGGCCAGTCCCACATGATTCAGCCAGACGGTGACCAACCTACAACACTCTTCTGTTCAGGTTTGAGGAATGTTGTTATTTGAGCCAATATTGAGTCCTACTTCCTCCCTAGGTTTACAAGGTAACCAAGGTAACTGTGTGAATTTGCTTTTGGTTACTAGTGATGTTAGTGATGTCTCTACTAATGCTATAGCAGGAAGCCATTGTCAAAGAGAGCCCAAGGTTGGTGAAGGTACACAAGATGGAGAGGCAAGAAGTGTAGCTTTAGGGGGGGGGGGTAGGAGAGAATGGTGTTTTAGGGGAAATAAAGAAGAAACTATTGGGAAAAGAGGGCAGAAGCAGGTGGAGCAGATGAGGTAGAGGTGTCGAGTCTAGGGGAGGGTGAATTTAACGAGGAAGTTCCATTGTCGAAATGGGCAAAGAGGATGGGCTTAAAAATATCCAAGTTGGGTTTGGATAAGACTCAAAAGAAGAATGAGGTTGATTGGGGAAGAATATGTAAGAGGAAGGGTAGAGAGGTGGAAAAACTTAGAGATGGGTGGGGAAAGAGGGGATGATAAAAAAAAAAGGGTGAAGGAAGGGGAGAAGGGTGGAAGGAAAGGTAGAAAGTAAAAAAGGTAAGGTAGGGGCTAAGCAATGTGGTGCCGAAATGAAGATTATAAGTTGGAATGTAAGAGGATTAGGGAGAGCAGCAAAAAGAAGGCTTATAAAAGAAGTATAAGGAGAGAAAAGCCAGATGTAGTGCTGCTACAAGAATTAAAGGCACAAAAGATTGATAGGAGGTGTGTAAGAAGTGCTTGGTGAGGTAGAGGCATTGGATGGACCATGGCTCCATCTTGTGGTGCATCAGGAGGGATAGCTACCCTATGGAATGAGGAGACAGTGGAATGTGTAGAGGATTTAATAGGAAGATTCTCAGTGTCTGTGAAATTGCGAAGTGTAAACGACAATTTTAGTTGGGTGCTAACAAATGTATATGTGCCTAACTCGTACAGGGAATGGAATGAGATGTGGGAAGAGTTGGCAGATGTGAGAGGACTATGGCAAGGCCCGTGGTGCTTGGGGGGTGATTTTAATGTGATAAGACATGTTGCTGAATCGAATAATCCAAGGCAAAGGTGACTACCAGCATGAGGAGATTCAATAGTTTTATAGAAACTTTTGAGTTAAAGAAAATTGGAATTGGACAAAGTAGGTACACTTGGACTAATTGCCAAGAGAATCTATTATGCTCAAAATTGGATGGATTTTTTGTTTCTCAAGACTGGGAGGAACATTGGATTAATTTGGTAGGTAGAATATTACCCAGAATCACCTCGGATCATTGGCCGATATGTCTTGAACAAGGGACAAAAGGAGAGGGTCTGAAGCCCTTTAGATTTGAGAACATGTGGCTTATAGTCCCAAAGTTTGTGCAAAAAATCAAGGAGTGGTGGGAGGAAGATGATCCTTAGGTGGGAAGGGCTTAGATTCCATAGGAAGCTTTGGAACCTAAAATTGAAAATCAAGGAGTGGAATCTTAATAAGTTTGGGAGATTAGAAGAGAGGAAGGTAAATTTGATAAGTAAAATTGAAGAAATAAATAAGGAGTCAGGGTCGGTGGAAGTAGGGGATAAGGAAGAGAGATTTGAGTTGAGAAGAGAGTTAGAAACTACACTCCTAAGAGAAGAAATGATGTGAAGCAAAAATCAAGTGTGCATTGGATCAAATAAGGGGACGGGAACACAAAATACTTTCACATGATTGTGAATGGAAGGAAAAGGAAGAATCTGATATCTCTATTAGAATTGGAGGATGACACAATAACTAATCAGGATGAAATTGCAAAGGCCTTGGTGAATCATTTTAAATCGATTTTTAGGAGTCCTCTATTAGGAAGATGGAAGTTAGAAGGATTAGATTGGCCAGTTTTAGAAGATACCATAAACAGGAACTTGGACAGAGAATTTGAGGTGGATGAGGTAAAGGAAGCAATTTTTTCTATGGGTCGCTCTAAAGCACCAGGGTTCAATGGATTCTCTATGGCTTTCTACCAAGACTGTTGGAAGTGGATTAAGGGCGATCTTATGCAAGTCTTTGAGGAATTTTATCACAGTGGGATTGTTAGCAGGGGGTAAATGCTACTTTTATCACGCTGGTTCCAAAGAATCTGGTGCTTTCCATCCCAAAGATTTCAGGCCAATCAGCTTGATAACAAGTTAGTACAAAATCCTAGCCAAGATTCTCTCTCTTCAGTTAAAAAAGGCCCTCCCGTCAATCATCTCTCAATTCCAAGGGGCTTTCGTCCAAGATAGACAAATTTCAGACCAAATACTCACAGCCAATGAATGTGTGAGGATTTCAAGAAATCTGGTAAGAAGGGCATTGTGTGCAAGTTGGATCTAGAGAAAACCTACGATTTTGTGGATTGGGAGTTCCTGATTGAAGCATTGAGACAATGCTGATTTGGAGTAAGATGGTGCAAATGGATTAAGGGTTGTCTAAAATCCTGCCACTTCTCAGTTCTAGTAAGTGGTGTAGTCAAGGACTTCTTTGGTGCCCAAAGAGGAGTGAGAGGATCCGCTTTCTCGCTTCCTTTTCACCATTCTAGCAAAGGTGCTTGGTAGACTGATTTCGAGGGTAGATAAGAGGGGTCTTTTAAAGGAGTGGAGAATAGGATGGGAGAGAGTGGCGTAACTCACCTACAATTTGTGGATGACATTATTATCTTTTGTGAGAGTGGAGGCGAGTTAAATGCAAGAAACCTAAAGATGCTCGTGAATCTATTTGAAAAAGTGACAAATATAGAGGTGAACCTCAATAAAAGTGTGGCGGCAAGGATCAAATGAGCTCAAGAGGAGATTAACTTGTGGATTGGGGAGCTAGGCTGCTTATGGAGTGACTGGCTGCCGAGGTATCTAGGTCTTCCTCTTGGGGCAAATCCTAGAAATCTAGAGTTTTGGAATCCGGTAGTGGAAAGGTTTGAAAGGAAGTTGACGGGGTGGAAGAGGAACTACATTTCTTTGGGGGGTAGGATTACTGTCATTAAGTCTACCTTAGCAAATCTTCCAGTGTATTACCTCTCAGTGTTCTGCATGCCTCAAGCTATTGGAAAGAAATTGGAGAGGATAATGAGGGATTTCTTGTGGGAAGTGGGTGATAAGAAGAGTTTGGAGGCTTGGGATTATTAGGGAGATCAAAGGAAAGGAATAAGGCTTTACTAGGGAAATGGTTATGGAGTTTTCCTTGCGAGACGGATAGGTTGTGACACAAAATTGTGGCTGGCGTATACTGGCTCTCAGAGAATGGTTGGGATGCTGGAGTATCTTGTAGGGCTTCTAGCGCATCACCATGGAAAGCGATTCACAAACTCCTTCCACTACTACTAAGTTATGTCAGGTTTGATCTCAATTCAGGTAACAAAATTAATTTTTGAGAAGATGTGTGGGCGGGTAACTCTCCTTTGGAGACACTGTTCCCCTCAATTTATGCCCTTTCCTCCCTTGAGAACAAACCGGTTGTTGATTTCTTAATCCCCTCTCCCTCCCAGTCTGGTTTTGCTTGGAATCTAGGGCTTCGTAGAAATGTGAAGGATTCTGAGATGGACTTGGTGTTTTCTCTCCTTCAGCTACTAGATGGGGTGTTTCTTGATACCTCCAAACAAGATACTAGGCTTTAGACTCCTCACCCCTCTGGAGCCTTCAGTTGTGCTTCCTTCTTTAAAACCTTGTCCACTCCTGCTCAACCTGTGGTTTTGCTTCCAGTCCAAGAAGTTTGGTGTCGCCCTATTCCCCCGAAAGTGAGTGCTTTTTGTTGGGAAGTCTACCATGGTGCAATTAACACCTGTGATCTGATGCAGAGGAAGAGGCCTGGCTGGTGCCTTTCACCTAATTGGTGTTGTTTATGCAAGTCAAATGGCAAAACTGTTTTTCATATTTTTGTCTCCTGTCCTGTTGTTGGTTGTATTTGGGACTGGTTTTTCTCTCTCTTTGGATGCAGGTGGGATACCCTGATGAGTTTGGAAAGGCTATTTGACGACTCCACTTTCAGATGGCCAAAAAGAAGAGGTAGAATGCTATGGGGATGCACCCTGGCAGCAGTGCTTTGGGTGATATGGGAGGTGAGAAATCTGAGAATTTTTTAAGAAAGGAAAAGATGCAAGGAAGTGCTGATAGAAGGGAACATGATAAAGGTGACTTTGTGGATAAAATCTGTGGGATTGTTCTCAGATTTTACTGTGGATGATATCTTAAGAGATTGGAGGACAGTAGCTTCCTCTTCATCAACTAAAAAGGACTTAAGAGAGTGGGATCCCCCTGATTCTAGCTTCCTCAAATTAAACTTTGATGGAAGTAGTTTTGGAAACCTAGGAATGTCTGGAATTGGAGGGGTGATAAGAAATGACAAAGGGACTGTGGTGGGGTTGTTCTCAGGCCCTATTGGAAGGGGAGACTCCACTACAGCTGAACTAAAGGCATGGTTTTTGGTATACAAAAGGCTATGGGAGTGAGAAAGCTGGTCGTGGAAGGCAATTCCAAAGTGGTCATAAGCTGGTTAAAGCAAAATGAAAAGATTCCCCGACTCTATAGAAATGAAATTAAGAAGTTTAAATGCTTTTCCAAGGACATGCAGTTGTAAATACAGTGGACTCCAAGAGCGGAAAATGGCTTTGCAGATCAGCTAGCAAAACAGGGGGTTAACAGGAAACATTGTTTCTGGGCTCAGTTGTAAGGCTAGAAAGTTAAAAGTAGATAGTTGGCAAACTCTAATTTCTAGTGGGTAGCTGAGGCTACTCATTTCTGTAATCTTTCTGAATTTTTTAATGAACAATCTTTGTAAGGTCACCAAGGGGCTTGAAGTTTAGAAGACTTAGGTTGTTCTGGTGGTCAAGGAATTAATTGGAGCTTTTGTGGACATCCTTCTGTATTTGTAGTTCCTTTTTCGAAAAGAGGGTTTCTTGTATATTTGCATATCTTGTTTGGGTACTTTCCTTTTGCTTGGGCTGCAAAATCCTGTTTGCTTATTTCTTTTATAAAACTTTCTTTGATTTTATTATCAAAAAATAGCTATAAACAAGGATTTTGTTTTTTTTTTTATCACTTTAAATTGTATTGGCATGGACCAGAGACCATGCTCCTTGGATATACACTTTAAATTGAGCTCACCACACTTAAACCAGTGAGTTGGGGCATCTGACCTGTTTTAAAGGATAATACCCTTCCTGTAGATGTCCTAACTCAATTCCTGAAAAAAAAACCAAGTATTTCGGGCATTCAAAATGTGCAGGGGTGGGGGTTTAGGAATGTATAGGTCTTGGTGTATCTCCCCTTTTTGTATAGCAGCTTGTTATACTTGTTTTGGTTTTTTTCATTGAAATTATACTTTACCTTCTCTCAAACATGAGAGCCTGTGCATTGGAAATATACAAAAAAACCTGACTAATCTCTCAAAAAAAGGTCCAGCTTGCAAAAAAGAAATAAGCTGGACACCATGAAAAGCTTTTTGTACACTCAACCAGGAACACAAAAAGCCTATAAGAAAGAAAGAAAATAGAGAAAATAGAGAGAGAATACTTGGGATCACTCACGGGGTGCCTAGAATCACACTAGGGTATGGGAATCACAAATTATAATTAACATAATCTCAAAAAAAAAAAAAAACTCAATAAACTTCATTGATCTTTGTGTAAAACACCCATACATATTTATAGATCATAGACTTCAGAATCCTAGGGCTCAAAAACTGTAGACTCATAACAACCCTAGTAGGACTCAAACTGAACTGCCATTATCCTTTTCAATTCAAAGAAAGACTTAATAACTCTTGAACTGCTTATTAAATGACTCTAAAACTTTAGACATAAACAAACTTTAACTAGACAAATCAGGCCCTATCATTGGAACCTGCAGAACAATTGTAACCAATTCAGCTCAGATCCCAATTACATCATTGTGCCATATCAGGACCTATTGTAAAGCCTTCTTACTTCTAGAAAACTCTTTAAGTGTGCTGATTGATTCCTATCAGTTATGCTTCCTGTCCTCTATGTGCATTGTTTTGTCAGATGCCAGTGAATATTTTGGGTGGGTACTTATTAAGAGAATATAACTTCTGATCTATTAAATTTGGACAGAGGACAGAACTATACGAGTATTCAAAGGTGCTTGGAAATTCACAGTCTGTTCTGCTACCATTTCAGCCATATAAGCTTATCTATGCCCATATGCTGGCTGAAGTGGGGAAAGTTTCAGATGCATTGAAGTAAGTAGATGTATTTTATCTCTTTCCTTCATGGTTTTTGCATTAATGCCATTAGTTCTCTTATCATTCTGTCTTGGCAGGTATTGCCAAGCAATATTGAAGTCATTGAAAACTGGCCGAGCTCCTGAAGTGGATAGTTGGAGACAATTAGTATCATCTCTTGAGGAGCGCATTAAAACCCATCAGCAGGTATCCTTCTTGAGTCAAGTTCAAACATACTAATGTCTTCACTCAGCCATTTGTATTGATTCAAGTGTATGTTACATACCCAGGGTGGATACGGCACAAACTTGGCTCCTGCAAAACTTGTGGGTAAATTGCTCCCTTTCATTGATAGATCCATTCATCGCATGATTGGGGCCCCACCACCACCAGCCCAGTCAACAAGCCAGAGCAGCTTTCAGAGTAATGAGCATGATAGCCACCCACTAGGTCCTAGAGTAGCCAACAGTCAGTCAACAATGGCCATGTCATCATTAATGCCCTCAGCATCAATGGAGCCTATAAGCGAATGGGCAGGTGATGGCAATAGAATGATAATGCATAATAGAAGCATTTCAGAGCCAGACTTTGGTAGAAGTCCAAGACAGGTTTGTTACTTGCAAATAAATGAAATCTTTGTTTCTGAGGGTGATTACATCATCAGGTATTTTTATGAACTTAAGTCTTGCTGATATTGTATAGGGTCAGGTCAATCAATCAAAGGAAGCAGCCGCCTCTGATGCACAAAGCAAAGCATCGGTCTCAGGTGCACCATCTCGCTTTGGACGTTTTGGATCACAGATCCTACAGAAGACCATGGGCTGGGTCTCAAGATCCCGCCCTGATCGACAGGTAATTTCTCAAATTACTACTTCTGTGATAACTTCTTTCTAAAGAAAATAAAATAAAGAAAATGAAGATTCTTTCGCTTCCAAAAAGCTATTTGGATGCCAGGAACTTTTTGATGAAGTAATACTAAGAACCGAGTATTACACAGGGTTGGCCTTTATTTTTGACCTATAGAGCCAATGACCAAAAAATAGTGTTATACAGAATTTTAAGAATTGATACATTTTTTTTTTCCTCTTGACAATTGAATGCAAATTGGATGTGTTTTCTCGAGCAAATCATACCACTTTCATTTTCCTACATTTCCTGTGCAACAAACTCTCCATGATATTTGTTGCTTAATTTTTTGAGTTTCTGCTGTCTTCCTTCTAAAGGCAAAATTGGGTGAAAAGAATAAATTCTATTATGATGAGAAGCTTAAGCGGTGGGTAGAGGAAGGCACTGAACCTCCATCTGAAGAAGCAGCTTTACCACCCCCACCACCAACTTCTGTCTTCCAGAATGGGATGTCAGATTACAACATAAGAGATGCATTCAAGAGTGAAAGCTTGCCAGCTGATGAAATGCCAGAAACCAAAAGCCCAACTCCCTTAGAACGGAGTCCAGGGATCCCACCCATCCCACCCAGCTCTAACCAATTTTCAGCTCGTGGGCGTATGGGTGTTCGATCAAGGTAAGGGCATTTGAAATTTCTTCTATCATTCTTCTTTGTTAATATACCCTTTCTTTTTCCACTTATGATTCTCATTCAGCCATTTTTAGAACTGAGGTAACCTTGCCAGGAATGGCACTCTGAACTATGTTTTCCTATATCGTATTTTGAGGCTTGCAATTAACGGGAACCTCTGGACTGTGATCTCTGCAGGTACGTTGACACCTTCAACAAGAGTGGTGCCTCCACAGCCAAATTCCAGTCACCATCTGTTCCAGCTGCAAAACCAGGTGGTGCAAGTGCCAAGTTTTTTATCCCCACTCCTGTAGCTTCAGGAGAACAGACAATAGATACAATAGACAAGAGCACACCAGAGGCTGTTATAGCTGAAGATGATCCTTCAACATCTGTTATTAATGATTCGTCAATCTCATCTTTACCATCATCATCTGGATTGTCCATGCAACGGTTCCCAAGCATGGGTAGCATTTCTCCTATGGTAAACAAGGGAATGGGGATGATGGGAAATGGAAATGGGTCCCTTTCTCAACTTTCACGGCGTACAGCATCCTGGAGTGGAAGCTTCAATGATACATTTAATGTGCCCAGGATGGCTGAAATAAAACCTCCAGGAGAGGCATTGAGAATGCCACGATCATCATTGGTGCCTAGTGATCCAACATCAATGCATCAGCCGGTGAATGGCAACAGTTTTGGAGATGATCTTCATGAAGTGGAACTGTGAGCCAGCATAAAAAACTTGTGATTCTCCAATTTTGCTTCTCATGACGACCATTGCATCAATCAGCACTTAACCCCCATCCTCTACCCCAAGAGCTAGGAGGCGGCAGTGGATTTTGATTCCCTGCAGGGAACATAAGTATGGAATTATGTTTGATCAAATGCACTTGCAACAGTTTCCTACTACGTCGGGGTTATAATGTTTCAGGAGGCCCTCCCTATGTATGGAGGGAGCTAGTGTCCTTTTTCCAAAGCAAAAGGACGTCTAGGCACTATTGTACAGTTCATTTGTTGATTTATTTGACAGAACTCCGATAATTGTTGAGGTAGTCCTCGAGGAAGATGGAAGAGAGTCTAAGAATAGCAACCCCCCTCCGATTTCTCGTGGAGTGAAAGAAAAATAAGATGTTCCTCCTGTCCTTTTGGTTTTGCATTTCTTTTTTTTCATATATATATATATATATGACAATGAAGTATGTTGATTAATAGAGGGAATTTAGACCATAGAAAGCCCAGAATTTGATTCTTCCAGTGGCCAGATGGCCCAGATCTTTGAAAACTGAATGCTATGGTGTTTCACTTTAGACACGTTAAAGCAAAACAAATGTGTCTATTGTTGGCGGAGTAATTGCAGTATAATTGGGACTCTCTCTCTCTCGACAGAGATCCATGTGATAGATTCTCCAGAATGGTCCATCATTCCATGAAATCCTTTCTTCTAAGAGGTTTGGGTGATATTTCTACTGCACTAAACAGATAATACAGGTCAAGTGGTAGTGTTCAACTATGGTTGGCCCGCTCAAATTTATCCTGAGATTCTCAACCCCCCCGCATTTCTGATTGTGCTCCTGTTACTGGTAAGACTTGCACATGTGCAAATAAAAATTTTAACTAATATTGTTTATTTATCTATTATTTTAATAATTGTTAGTCAAACTTTAATTTTTAAATATTTTATTATTCTTTTTAATTATTTTGTTAATTGTTAATTAGTTTATTAAATAGTTGAACATTCTTTTGTCTAAGGTTAAAATTGTCAATTGGATTTCAAAGTTTGGCATTCAAATTTTAATACGACATTCTTTGCATTTAGATATGAGCCCTAAGAAAAATTCACCAACTCCAGTACACCTTTTAATGTAATTCTAACAGTTTTAGATGCCAAACTTCAATACAAACAAACAGATCCCAAGTGGTGGGGATGGGAGCAAAATGCATATGCCTCCATAGTCAGAGACGCTGAGTGACCATCTCATCTCAGCTACTAGGTCATCGTTGTGTCCAAGGGATGATTGAGTATAGTAAATAACTAGACCATGTGTCTAATGTCATAAAATGTCAGCATATATGACAGGGACATCATATGTTTCAGTGTTTCTGTAGCTTGGTTTTCTGTAATTTGTCGAGTATCCGTTTTGCCAATTTTCTTGGGTGACTAAGTAAACACATAGCACATCTACTACCAAATTGATAGGAAGCGTAGATGCTATCATCGGAATGGATACAAAATCTATGTTTACCACTAATTAATTTATTTATTACTGAAAAATTTGAAAAAAATAAAGGATAAACCGATAAATCCCTTTAACTTCCCCCGAGTTTTCTGGAAAGACCTTAAAACCTCCCCTCAACTTTGAGCTGCCTTTAAACCTCTACGGCTCTACCAACTTTTGGGGATAAAGGGACTTAACCCTTCTGTTACTTCAATAGAATTTAAATTTTAAACAAAATGTTTGATGACTGATATACCCTTATACCTTTAACCAAAAAATATAAAATACCCTTAAATCTTTAACAAAAATGAAATACCCTTAAACCTCTATTTACCTTTTCGTTTTACATTCTTCTTTCTTATTTCTTATAAAACAAATATGGAGGCTCCTTAAGGACCCTAACACTTAAAATAACCAAAGGGTTTGTTTATTCTACCCAAAAATGGTTTGCTTATGCGGTAAAGAATATGAAAAACCAAAATATATTGGGAGAATGACGATTCAGCCCAGGGTTAGAATTTGTAGGCCCAAAGTACTGTTGTGGTAGGTGCCAGCTTAGAATTTGTGCCAATTCACTGGCAGGCTTTGGTGCATAGAGTGTGGGTTGTTGCCATTTGGAATGTTTATAGTTCTGCAGTAGAAATCAGAAATCTGCATTGAGCCTATCCGTACTTTTCCGAAATATATTTTACTTATATTTACAATTCAAATAAAAAGTTGGAGCTACGAAAATCTACTAACCTGATTGGAGGAATTAATATGGGCATAATAGACATTTATGTCCCCATCTACCTAAAAGCAACATAAGTGGTCTATAAGTCCCTTTATCTCCAGAAGTAAGAGGAGGTTTAAGGGCAGGTCAAAGCTCAGGGGAGTTTTTTCAGAAAACCTATGGAAGGTTTAAGGGATTTACCAAAATTAAAAACAATCAAAGAGGATGGCAACCAGCCTCCCCATACAACACAAGTTAAAAAAGCAAACTAGTCAGGGGCAGCCGGAATACAATTACAAGGTACTATTAACCTCCACTCATGTCTGTAGAGCCAACTTCATCATTTGACGATCCAGTTGAACAAGATGTTCCTCAGGCACGCTAATTATCTGCCCATCTAATACAATAATGATACACCCTTTTACATTACCTCTCTTAAGCTGCCATGGCGGTTGAGCCGCTGAGTGTAATTACGGATTGTCGTGCTTTCAGTTTGAAATTCTATGGCTATTTCGTTGTATTCTCATCGCTTAACAAAGTTGGAGGTTTCACACTCCTCTGATGACCTGGTCATCCACCCCGGACTTAATCCATTGATCCTTAGTGAGATGTAATCTGTCTGTTGACTATTGAATAAAAGTAGCCTATGGGCTTTCCAAAAAAAAAAAAGATACACCCCTGAACCTTCTCCATGCCTCATCTAGCCAATGACCACCTGAGTCACCCTCTACCTCCCCAGAAAATCCAAGAGTGCATACCAGTCGATAGAGATGACTTGACCCTCAGAATCATGTCCTACGTCCACCGATCCAGACTGGACAAAGGAGACGTAACTCTCTGTGATAGCAAAATACACCCATACCAGAATCCAGATGACCGAGGATTCCTTGATGCCCATCAATGTTCAACTTGATGTATATAGGGGAAACTAATTGGTGTCAGTCCATAGACACAATAGATACTGCAACCTGAATCCAACCCAGCGCTGGGCATAGAAGATGCCAATTGCTCAAAAGTTGAAAATTGATAATCCTTGAATGAGAAAATATAGTAAGTCAAAAGAAAAATATTCATGTTAAAATAGTAATAGGCTAAAAGCAATGTCTCGGATGACAAGCAAAAAAATGGTGTTAAATTTTCACCCTATATGGAACACCATATTCTATATACAACATCTGACCTTTCTAAAATTTATAGGAACCAAATAAATAAGCTCATCTACAAGAATTAAAGCAAATGAATGAGAAGCAGAGAGTTTTATAACTGGGTACATAATAATTATTTGAATGACTTGAAAGACCACATTGACTTCATCAAGTAAGAATGGGCATCAAAATTCTGCTGAGCCTGGTGTCCGTGGGAAAGGTATTGCATCCCTTATGTTCTCTATTCCAGTGACAAACTGCACAAGTCTTTCGAAGCCCAAACCAAAACCTGCATGAGGAACTGGGTACAAGCAAATGGTAAAAGACAATCAGTTGTATTACTCATAAATTTCAAACAAGACATACTGCACCTAGTTGGATATCTAGATTGCTTGAAACACCATAAATCATACAATGGCTTCAAAATTGTAGCATGAAACAATGTCTGATCTTCCTTGGCCATCTGACATTGATCAACTGTCAAAAATTAAGTATATATACAACATTTTAAAATTGTAGCATGAAACAACGGCTTCAAAATTTTCAATCAAAAATTAAGTATATATACAACATTTTAAAATTGATCAACTGACAAAAAAGAATTTATAAAGGTTGTGGACTGGGCAACTATGTCCTAAGTTAAAGTTTACCAACTCTACTTGGCCATCTGTCAATATAGCAGTCATTAAAGGTTGAGTTTGACTACTACAAAAAAGAAAGGGGCCAGACCCAAATTAAGATCTTACTCTGGAAAAATGGTTATCAACTTCAACATCCTCCCTTCCTGTAGACACTGCTCACGAAAAAGTCGATCAGCCTCCAAGACTATTACAGAAGCGGTTATCAATGCTGACACCCTTCCCTCCTGTGAATACTGCCTATAATTGTCCGACAGTTTATGCCCTCAGGTCCAATGGTGTTTATAATTGACTATTATTGTGAAAGTACAATTATTTCATGTGCCATGTGGTGTGTCTCTACTAAATTAACCCTTTTACTACATTTTAGGATTATGTTTGAAACATCATATTCAGTATGTAAGGGTAAATGTTCTCAACTAGACCTGTTCATGGGCCGGGCCGGGCCAGGCCGGGCTCGGGCCGGGCTTTCACTTGTCATTAAGGGAAATATGCTAGGCCCGAGCCTGAGCCCGGCCCGACCAACGGGCCTATAACTTGGGCCTGAGCCCGGCCCTGATAAAAAGCCCGAAGCCCGACCTAATAAAAAAAATTTCCCTATTCAAATTAGAATTAAAAATTCAGATAGTTTTTTTTTCCTATTTAAATGAACAATGGGCCTACAAGATGGTTTTTTTCCCCTTTCTTTTATATTTTAAAACACATTTTTACATTCTTAAATCAAAAAATTTATTCAAATGGACATAATCACATTACTCACTTTAAGTCTAATATTAGGTCGGGCCGGGCCGGGCTATTTTGACAAAACACGAGCCCGGCTAGAAGTTATTGCGGGCCGGGCTTTTTGGCCCGAATTTAAGCCCGCGAGCCTATAACCACGTTCAAGCCTGTCTGGGGGATGAACAAGTCTATTCTCAACCAGTGGATAGACTTGGGTTGACATTCACACACGTGATAGAGCAGACTGCCTCATCTGCTAAGGTTGTGACCTAAAGTGTGGGAATGGGTGGTTGCCCGAAACACTAAACCAGACTAAGTTTCAGATTATTCTTGGACTTTTGAATAGGTGGAATAGCTGGACCGTTGCTTGTGATCCCTGACTTGATAATGGTACTCAACCGGATACCTAGCAGACTTGCTTTTGATATGCCAATTAGAGAGATCCTTTTGGGGGTCAACATCTAGGTAAATTGGAGCAGCTATGAGGAATACCTAGGAAGTCATCATTGTGATAGGATCAGCTACTTTGTTAGACAAAGAGAATATCTATAAACATATCCTCTTCAGTGGATAGTCAAAACTGTCAACAGTGGACTTCAAAAAATGTTGAGATCTGTTTTGCAAAAGTGTGTTTGTCTATATATAGTCTATTTTGAAAAAGGAGTTCATAAATAATTCTTTCCCAGGATCCATTGATGAGAGGGTGTGACATTGGGTTATATGTCAAGGGAATAAGTCCTTCCCTTTGTCCCAGTGTTGGATATTAATGGCTGAGAGATCATATAGCAAATGTCTTATTAGGCCCAAAACCCTAATAGATATATAATTGGAATTGGAACATAGGACTTGGACTCATAGAGTGGTTGAGGCCCAAGTGTGTAGTATTATATACTGATGGGTTAAAATGTTTAAGCCCATTCACTGATGGACAATTCACTCTTTAATTAGAGTGAATTCGGCCCAAGTGTGTAGTATTATATACTGATGGGTTAAAATGTTTAGGCCCATTCACTAATGGACAATTCACTCTTTAATTAGAGTGAATTTGGCCCAGTGGTCCCAACTCACTTCAAGTGACTGAAAGGGCTCTATAGTGGTTTGATCCAAATTGGAATGTGGGTCCCACACCATACAAGAATACCTTCTCTCTTATCCCTTGAGAAATTATAAACCCATTAGAAGTGGTTCAAACAAGATTCCAAGTCTTCTAGTATCAGAAGGAAACTAACTAGCTTGTCTAGTCAAACTAGGACTGAATTAGAAGGTTATCTTAGACCAGCCATTACCCACTTCAATTGAGACTTTTCTAGGGTTTATTTGAGACTTACTAGGAGCCTTTAAAAGTTAGATGCTCGGATTGTAGAGAACAATATTCAGTCCAAAAACCTTAGGTGATACCTAAGACCAAACCTGCAATATTGTCCTTTCTTCACCATCTTGAACCACATTCAAGAAAGGATTTTGGGGGTTCTTCTACAGTAGAAATCCACCATTAACAGAGGTGATTTGGGCGACCAAACACTCCTGAAATCTCAAGGATCGAGTTGCTCAATACCCAAGGCTGTTTCAGTTTGATTCAATCACTAGAGAAGGAAGCTTGATTTCTTGGGCATGAACTCCACAACATTTCTTCAACTTGTGAGGACCATTCTATCAGGTAAAGTTCTAATCTTTCTTGTAGTTTTGGATCTAATGTGACCTAGTTCAAGTCCCAAAATCACTCAAGGAGAAAGCAAGTTTTCTCCCATGCGGTTTTGCTATTCTCCTGGCCGAACTCTTGGGTTCATGAACCCTAATTTGGAATTTTTTGAACAGAAAAATCCAACCCATGTGAGTGTCACAGCTTTCAATAATGTCAATCAGCCTCCAAGACTATCCATCAAAAAATCAGTCTCCAAGACCAGCTGGATTTAGACCTCTCATGTACTCAATGACAATGAGAGAAAATCTCCTTCCACCCACATTCTCTGAAGCATGCCGGACTTTCAAGTGGTTCTCATGAAAAGATTTGCTAGAGTGTTACAACTTTTGTCATTGTTGGGAAATATGGAAGGAAAGAAATTGGAAAAGCCAGATCCCTGAATTCTAGGATAAACATCTCATTCAGGTAGATTTTCAGATCAGTTAAATCTGTAGCCAGCACAGGAGGGTACTAAATCAGTTGACAGGACTTCCTAGAATGGAGCTGATTACAAGTGAAGTTTTCTTGAATTTCTTTTTTTTTCATTTTTTTTAGTTTGCATCTTGAATTTCTAGGGATCAGACATACTAAACATTGGGAGTGGTCCTTGGGATGTTGCGCATGTTGGGCTACGCAGTCGCAGGGTATAGTCTCAATACATTTTACTTGAACATACCCTATTCTTTTATCAGTATATTCATCACCAATCAAAATGTAACTCTTAGAGAAACCAATTTAATTTAAGCAAAAGAAAATCATGAATTTTCTTTTCAATACAAAATGCTACTGTATATTATTGTAGAGAACACTGATGTGGGCCCCACAGCTGTGGTCCCCACTGTGTTCGTAGGACAGTATGTGAAATTATTTGTTTCAGTCATGGTAGTGTCAGTTGGGGTCAGTTTGTTATTTCAGTTGTTATTTATTTCAGTTTTTATTTTTATTTGTCATGTAAGTACTAAGGGCAGATCTGTCCTTTTCTCTATGTACTGAACATAACCTATAAATACTAAGAGAGTRGCGGYGGCAGATGTGTTAGAATCTGTCCCTTCTTTCAAACCTTTGTGTTCTCCTGTTCCTCTTCTCTTTTTCTCCTTCCTCTCACTTTTCTTCTACTTTTCTTAA